GGAGAAAAGTATTATTCAAGGAGGGACTGGAGAGAGAAGGGGATAATCTGTTATATTAAGGGGGTTTTAGGCATTTAGAAAAATATGTATGTGTTCCTGATAAAGTACAATACGCACCAATTCTTTTTTTTATTGGTACATTTTAGATGTACTTAATGATCACATTCATCATAGGGAATTTGTACTTGTGCATGATACATCTTGCTTCTTTTTCTCCCATCCCCTTCCCCTCCCTTTAATCCCTCTTCTCCTCCTTGTTTACAAAAGCTTTGTTTCCATTTTTCCCTTGTCCCTTTTTCTTTTTCTCCTCCCCCTCCTTTGTTCTCTTTCTCATTTGAACATTTCCTTTCCGTTTTCCAATATGTTTTAACTATTTTGGTCCTTATTTGTACTTTCGGTTTCTCACACCAGAGAAACAACACGGTATTTAAACACCTGTGCCTGATTGTACCAATTCTTTAGGAAACACAATAAATGTCAAGTAGTTGCTCATGGAAAAAAAAAAATCTCCAACTATGACCATGAATTTGTCTATTTTTTCCTTTAGTCCTAGCAGTTTTTGCTTTATCTACCTTTACATTCTGTTATTAGTTGCATGCATTTTTATAATTATTACATCTCCCTGATGAATATGAAATGTCCCTTTTTATATTGTACATTTATTTTCAGCCGTATCTTTACATTTAAAACAAATGTTTTGTAGACAGTTTGTAGGGAGCTCTTGCTATGACAATCCATGCTCTTTTTTTTTTTTTTGGTACTGGGGATCGATCTCAGGACCTTGCACTTGTGAGGCAGGCCCTGGAACCACTGAGCTAAATCCCTGGCCTCAATCCATGCTCTCTAAATGGAACGTTTATTCCCTCGTAGAACAGAGTAAGCAGAGCAGGCCTAAGATCTATTCCTGCAAAGGCCTGCTTGCCAGGTTCCCTTTCAGTTCCCATCCAGGGACTTGGCCCTCACAGTGTGCCCAGCCAGCAGCTATCTGAGGACGCTTCCCTGTTCCTAGAGCATCTGTGTGAGCCGTGTGTTTTACGCTGCACTGCACATTTGCTTGACCCCTAAACTCAGGGAGTCAAAGAACTCCCAGGGTTCCTCCTGGGCGGCTGGAGTTTTGGTATGTGCTAGGCAGACAGTGTCTACCTAGCCAGGCCCAGGAAAACCTCCAGATGGGCTTCCACAGGCAGATCTCACACGGCGCTTCGTTTCCTGGCTGGAAGGAGAAGGTGTCCTGTATTGTTGCTTTTAAGAAAAAAAAACCCCAAAAACATAAGGAAGCCTGCATATCTGAATCCTACCTCTGAGGTTTTCCTTTGTGATCTAGCTATGCCTCCTTTCTACATCCATGTAATAAATCTTAACCATAAATATAATTATATGGCGAGTTCCACGGTGAATCTCCAAACATAGAGGTGGCCTTGGAGGCCCTAAGACAAGTTCATTTGCATTTAATAAAATTATTGATATGATTGAGTTGGGTCTACCAATTTATTTGACCCATCTTTTTGTTTGTTTCGTGCTCTTCTGTTCTCTCTTGTTTGGGGGGGGGATAGTTAATTGCACATCTATTTTAGAATTTCATTTAATATCTATTCTGGTTGTCTTTGCTATGTTTCTTTGCATTTCCATTGTAGCGGTTACCGTAGGGAATACAATATACATTTGAACTCTTCCCAATCTACTTAGTGATAATAATACCTTTATTTCCTCTGTCTTCTTAAATGTCTGTAGAATCTGTTATGAAACCCTACTTTTTGCATCCATATAGGTTAATTTTCTTTCATCCTTCATACTATAGTTATACATATTATAAATTATGCTTATGTAACGAGCTTTGTGATAGTGTTTTTATTTTTGCTTTAAACTATCACACGCATTACGTGTGTGTGTGTGTGTGTGTGTGTGTGTGTGTGTGTGTGTGTTACTGAGGATTGAGCCCAGGGCTTTCACACCGAGCTACATCTCAGCCCTTTTTATTTTTCATTTTGAGACAGGGTCTTGCTAAGTTACTGAGCTGCCTAGGCTGAGCTTGAACCTGTGATCCTCTTGCCTCAGGCTCCAAGCGTGCTGGAACTACACGTGTGCACCACCACGCCCCACTTTACCCACACATATTTTAATCAAGAGAAACAAAAAGATGCTCTTTCCCATTTACTCACATATACACCATGGATGACACCATTTCTTCCTGGCTATCCCTGCCCACATCCCTCCAAACAGTGCTCACAGCCTTCATCTCTGAGTGGGAGCTCTGGCCTCACACCCACTAACTCAGCTACATTCTTACAGTGCTTTTAAGCTGATATGCAGGTTGGTGCTCACTATGCCCATCTTCCAGATAGGAAAACTGAGGCCCAGAGAGAGTTAATGACTTGACCACTCTGCTAGGAGGTAGCAGAGCTGCTTAAATCGAGATCTGTCAACTCCCACTGCAGTATCTTCTAATGTCCCTTGAAAATTGTAAAATTGCGGAAACTACACATGTTGCATAGAAGGTTTCTCCTCTTGGAGTTGTCATATTTCAGTAGACGATACCCATAAGAGGATCATTCCTTGTGGTGAGCCATCCTTGAGGGGCTTCGTCAACTGCAGCAGGAACCAGGGAGAGGGACTGGGGCAGGGGGCCGGCATTGCTAGACGTGTCCTTGACGTTCTGGAGGGAAAGATGAGCAAAGTGGGCTTTCTTATGTTCCTTGTCTTCTGGCGAGGTTAGGAGCCTTCTGGGGGCAGAGATCATTCCTGGCACAGTTGCTGAGGCAGAGTAAGAAAGGCCTGATTTCATAACCTTGTTTTTCATCTTTAACAAGAAGCAGGGTCAGACCTAGTATGTCATCTGTTTCCTGCAGCATGAGTGGGTCTGACCACATATAACCTTCCTAGGGCAGCAGCAGGGAGCTCCTCTGCGGTCTTTCCTGGAGCAGAGAGTAAAGGAGTTGAATGTGTGGATCATCACACTGAGCACAGACTCCCGTCTGAGATCAAAGATCAGATGAGATGTGTGCAGAAATCCTGAACCTTGCACAGCCACCTCCCCCAGGCCTGCACAGACAAGAGTGAGACTAAAAACTTGACCCTGATTTTTCAAAAAGTCAGGCAACATTACGCTGTGTGCTGCTCCCCTGTGATCAAGCATAAGTCCTAACAAAGTCTCGTTCCCTTGTTATTGTTTGTTTTGTGATTTCTATCTTGAAGTAAGCAAAAGAACCCTGGGCTGAATGGTTAGCAGTGGGAATCTTCCTCTCAGGTCCATTCCTCTCACTTCTGGTGGTGGATTCCCTCAGGACTCCACCACCACCAGACCCCCAGACTCACTGGGTAACTAAGCATCCAGCACCCCAGTGCCTTCCATTTGTGACCAGAGCTGCTGAGTGTAGGAGCAGGGGCTGGCTCCAAGGGGACTTGGGTGGACAGAGCATGACAATCAATCCATCACTCATCTCCATACAATGCTTTGTGGTTTCCTAGTGCTTTTGTGATTCTCTGTCTTCTGAGCCTCCTGGACAAGCAGACACCATCAGTGCCAGTGCACGGAGTGGGAGGAAACTTCGGTCCAAACTCACACTGTCCTCAAGAATAGAGTCAGGGCGTTGTGTTGACTCCTGACAGTTCTCCACTGCATGGAGCCCCCCTGCTTCACACTGTGCTGTCTCTCGGGACCCTGGGAGCACAAGGTTCCTCACGATTCCAATTGCTTTCATGAGCTTTTGAGTCAAGCAAGTGGGCAGAGTGTGTTCATCACCAGATGGAAACCCTCATGTCCCTCACATTCTTGGGCAGCCAAAAGAAAGGGCTGGGCCTCAGCAGACCCAGCTTCAGCCTCAGGTTTTTCTGTCATAGGGAAGAAATCCAGCTGTATGGGTCCTTCAGGAGAAAATCCTTTCACTTCTCCTTTTAGTGAGGTCCTCAGCCACTAGATCTATGGGTGAGCAGAATCTGGTCCTGCCTTGGCCTCCAACAGGAGCTACTTTGACAAGGAAAAGGGTAAAACCTGGGTTCAGCACAGGACAGAAAAACTGGGTGCTGAGAGCTTCCTGTCCCCTTCTATCTCAGAGCTCCTTCCGCTCTGGGGCTGGGCCTCTTCCATCGGGAAGACCCACGCGCACATGCTCTTAGGCCTCCTCAGCTCCTGTACCTGTCCCCATCGAGCCTCAGGTTAGGAAACACCTGCCGACCTTCCTCCCAACACCACTCTGTCCTCCACGCATCTCCCACGTCAACCAAGACCTATTAAGGGATTTGCTAATAGCCATTGGTGTAAGTTTCCATAAACCCAGAAGAGGCTTAAGGAATGACATACTGGTTGCATTGGGGCAGGAAGCACGGGGTGCTTTGTGACAGATTTCCCTACTCCCTGTCCCCGGCCTCCCAACGGCACCTCCTCTGACACCTTCCCAGAGCTCAGCCACATCCCCGGTCACCAGGTTCTCTCTGCCCACGCTCTTTCCCTCGGCTTGGAATGCCTCGACCCCTTTCCACCCAGGACTTCCTCCTGATCCCCTTGAAGAGCCTTTCGCACCTGGAGGTACCTGGTAAGAACAATGACCCCCCATTAATATTTCCTGCAGCCATAAGGGGAACTGTGCTAGTGCAGTGTGTGCACTGGTGGTTCTTTTTTCCTTTTGACACCCCCAGGAAGGAAAGGGTTATATCTCCATTTCCCAGGTGACAAAGCCGAGGCTAGTAGAGCCAGGATCTGAATGCAGGCCTACTGTCCCCCAAGTCTCTGCACCCTAGACCTTATCATGCTGTCTTGTAATTAACTGTCAGTGTATTTGTCCATCCAGTGGACTCTGAGCCCTTAGGGCTGTTGTCTGAAATAAATCCTTACAGGATCCCAATAAGCTAGGGATGGCAGGGGCTCCCTGATCTGAGCCTGAAGTCCATTCCCACAATGACTCCCTGTGCTCCCCCAGCAGGGGCCACCCTCACCCCATGGATCTGTCCCTGGCATGTCTGTCTGTTGCCAGGACACAAACTTCCTGGAAGTGCTCATGGGCCTTGGGTTCCCGAATTTCCAAGGATGAGAGGCATAGGAGGTACCCTTCCTTCCTGGGAGGCCCCTCCTCTTCTGCATGCCAGTCGCCCCAGAAGAGACCTGAGAAGTTGAGGGAAAGCATTTCTGCACTGGTGCTGGGGCTACTACTGGTTCACCTCCAGGTAAGTGGCTTCCAGGGCTGCATCTGTGTCCAGCACTCTGGGACTTGTGTGTGTGTGTGTGTGTGTGTGTGTGTGTACCAGGAACTGTGACATCCCCATTCTGCCCCCTTGAATCCCCCATGCTCCCAGTCCCAGCTCTGGCTCCCTTCCCAGCATCCTTCTGCTGTCTCCTCCTGCTTCAAAGCCCAGGTGCTCTGTCCACCTTCAGTTAGGAGGCTGGGACAGGAACCAGGAGGTTGCCCTGGGAGGCTGGGTGACGCGGTGGCAGTGAGGGTCAAAAAGAAGGAATGGATTGGGGAGGAAACCAGGAAGTGCGCGGGGCACCACCCAAGGGAATGGGTCCACAGTGCCAAGAAGAGAGTATGGGCTCTTTGCCAAGAAGCTGTAGGACGGTCCTGCTCCATTGTGGCTTAGGGTCTCAGGCACATCACTGAACTTTGCACTTCAGCTCCCTCACTGGGAAAATGAGAATAATAAGAGGATCAGGTAACAGGCCGGAGGAGCCAGGTGGGGCTTGAGGGAAGTAGCTGAAGGGATGCTGATTTTGTGGCTTGGATGGGTGAATAATTAGTCTGTAAATGGGATTTGTTATCCCTACCAGGAAACCCATCTGCACTTTAACAAATGGGGACTAAGAGTTGCTTGCCAATTATTACATCAGACTAGTAGGGTAAGGAGGGGAAAACTTTCAAGGAGAAAACAAATAGCTTGCCTGAGACTGTGCAGGTAATCGAGCAGGCGCTGGATCAATCCACTCCTCCCTAGCCACCCCAGCCGCCCCGCACTCCAACCCACCATCGCTGTGTTCATTCTTTCCTTCCTCTTCCTATATTTTCAATTCTCTTCTCCATTATTGAGAAAAAAACTTCTATTGTCCTTAGTTGCAAAATCCTAGCATACAGGAAGCCTCTTATTTTGAGCTACTGTCAGTCACTATGTGAAGAGTAGATCTGCCTTTCGGTAGAGTATGGTGGTACTGGGGATTGAACTCAGGGCCTTTGCACTGAGCTACATCTGCAGCTTTTTTTGTCTTGTCTTTCTTTCTTTCTTTCTTTCTTTCTTTTTTTGAGACAGGGTCTTGCTGAGTCGCTGCCTGGCCTAGCAATTCTTCTGCCTCAGCCTCCCAGAGTGGGTTTTTTTCAATACAAGAAGGGCCAGAGAAAGAGCCCAAGGAAGATCACCAGGGAATCCAAAGAGGGAGAAAGGGCCCCAGGAGTGGGGCTCCCTGAGAACTCCGGCAGGGGACCCCCTGCCAGCAGCTTCCTTCCCAGCCTGCTTGCCAGAGGCTTCCCCATCCCAAGGGGAGAACTGGAGGAAATCCCAGCATTCCCCACTTTTTGTGCCCTTCCAGGTTTCAGTCTGATAAATCAGACTGTGGGACAAAAGTCAAGTTATCTGGGAGAGGCAGGCCAGGTCTTTGACACTGGGCACAGCCTGAACAAAGCCATCATGGCCTCAGACTTGAACAAATATTTTGAAAACCTCCTCAGCTTCTTCCCTCCATTTCTGCCCCACCCCCATCCCATTTTGTTCACTACTAGGAATTGAACCCAGGGCCCTTGTATTGACCTACATAGCTGGACTTTTTCCTTTGGTACTGGGGATCAAACTCAGGACCTTGAGCTTCCAAGGCAGGCGCGGTGCTGCTGAGCTAAATCCCAGGCCCCATCTAGCCTTTTTTTGTTTGTTTGTTTTGGGGTTTTTGTTGTTGTTGTTTTTGGTACCAGGGATGGAACCCAGGACCTTGTGCTTTTGAGGCAGGAGGCAGAACCACTGAGCTAAATCCCTGGCCCCACCTTTTCTATTTTTTATTTTGAGGCAGGGACTCACCAAGCTGTCCTTGTTGGGATCAAACTTGCAATCTTTCTGCGTTTGTTTCCCAGAGTGCTGGGATCACAGGCATGTGTCACCACACCCAGCTCTGATTTCTTTCTTTATAACTGAGATAAAAATCCAGAAACACAAAATTCACCATTTTATCCCTTTAAAGTTAGCTAATTCCAGTATGCTTCCTTTATACCCCAAAAGAAATCCCATACCCGATTCTTCCCTCTTCCCAACCAATCCACTTTAAGTCCCTATGGATTTGCCTATTCTGCTCATTTCTTATACATGGAGTCATATAACATGTGGTTTTAGAGTCTGACTTCTGTCACTTAATGTAATGTTTTCAGGGTTCACTCGTAGCATCCATTAGTAAGACGTTTATTCCTCTTTATGGCCAGATAATATTCCACAGTACAGACACACCACTGTTTCTTTACCTGTTTATCAGTTGATGGGCATTTAGATTCTTTCCACTTTTTGGCTGTTATGAATAACACTGCCATGAAGATGAGTCTGCAAGCTTTCCACGAGTGAGTATATATTTCCAATTTGATCGAGTAGATGTCTATACTGGAATTATTGAGTCATGTCAGAACTCTCTTTAACTTTTTTGAGGAATTGCCAAATTTTTCCATAGTGGCTGAGCAATAAATGACAGTTCTCACTTCCTTACAAACACTTGTTATTTTCCATTTTAAAAAATTGTGGTTAAAAAAAAACTCCACATACTATAAAATTTGCCTCCAACAACTTTTTATTTAGTTTTTGTTTTTGTTTTTTGAGACAGTTTCTTTATGCAGTTCAGGCTGGCCTTGAACTCTTGGTGATCCTCCTGCCTCAGCAGTACTGGGATGTCAGGCGTGCACCACCATGCCCACCCCAACCCCTTTTAACTGTACAGTTCAGTAGCCTTAGCTATATAACTTTATGTAGCAGATTTCTAGAGCTTTTCTATTTTGTAAAACTAAAACTCTGTATCCATCAAACAAGTCCACATTCCTCTCGCCTCTGTCCCTGAGCAACTGCCGTTCTCTCTGTTTCTCTGACTATTATAAATCCTTCATATGGTAAATGGAATCACACAGGATTTGCCTTTGTGGCTGACTTATTTCTCTCAGCATAACATCCTCAGCATACATCCAGGCTATGCCTGTGACAGGATCTCCTTCAATTTTAAGGCTAGTACTCACTTGTAAGCGTAGGCCTCATTTCCTTTATCCATTTGTCTGTGGATGGGCTTTCTGGCTGCTTCAGCTGCTTGGCTAATGTGAATAATTCTGTCACAGACATTTGTGTGTAAATATCTCTTTGAGATCCTGGTTTTAGTTCATTTGCTTCTATACCCAGAAGAGGATCAAATGGTAACTCTATTTTTAGTGTTTTGAGAAACTTCTATAGTAGTTGTGCCATTTTACATTCCCATCGGCAATGTTCATTGTTCCAATTTCCCCACATCCTCACTGACATTTTCTTTCTCTCTTTCTTCCTTCCTTCCTTCCTTCCTTTCTTTCTTTCTTTCTTTTTTCTTTCTCTCTTTCTTTCCTTCCTTCCTTCCTCAATTTTTTTCCTTCCTTCCTTTCTTCCTTTTTTTTGATAGGGCCATCCTAGTGGCTGTAAAGTGGTATCTCCTTGTGCTGTTGGTTTGATTTCCCCTAATGATTAATGATCTTTTCATGTGCTTATTGGTTATTTGTATACTTTCTTTGGATAAATGCCAATTCAAATCCATTTCCTATTTTTAAATTTACTTGTATTTTATTGTTAGATGAAAGAATTTATTTATATATTCTGGAGGCTAGACTCCTATCAGATATGAGATTTCCAAATAGTTTATCCAGTTCTGTGCATTATATTTCCACAGTGACAGTGTCCTTTGAAACACTTAAGTTTTTAATTTTGTTGAGGTCCAATTTGCCTGTTTATTCTCTGGTTCCATGTGCTTTTGGTATCATAATTAAGAAATTGTTCCTTAATTCAAGATCACAACTACATCTATGTGTTCTTGTAAGAATTTTATAGGTTTAGCTCTTACATTTAAGTCTTTGAGACATGTTGGATTAATTTTTGTGTCTGGTCAGAGACAGGGCTCCAATTTCATTCTTATCCTCTGGATATTCCATTGTCCCAACACCATCCATTTGTTGAAAACAATTATTGTTTCCCCCATTGAGCAGTCTTGGCACCCTCGATGAAAGTCAATTGATCATACACATGGGGTTTATTTCTGGACTCTCAGTTCTATCCCATCAATCTATATGTCTATCACATGCTAATATCAAATTACTTTCATTACTGTAGATACAGTGGTAAGTTTTGACCTTATGAAGTATGAATCATCCAACTTTGTTCTTTTTTAGAAAAGTTTAGCTCTTTTGGAGTCCTTGCATTTCCATATGAATTTTAGGATCATCTTGTCCATTTTCTTTCTTTCTTTCTTTCTTTCTTTCT